GTGCCCTTGACTGGAATCAAACCCAGGACCCTTCAGTCCGCAGGCCGACGCTCTCTCCACTGAGCAACACCAGCCAGGGCGAAAATTCAATAAATGTTCAACAACAAAAAAGAGCAGAAATTGTCCAAACCACGTTTTCTGATCACAACAAAATGAAGTTAGACTTCAGTGAAAATGGTCTTAAAATCGGCGCAAATAAAACCGTTCGGAAATCGGAAAACACCCTCCTAAGAGCAGCGCGCTGAGGAAATCCATGTGTGAGAGAGAAAATCAATATTAAATCGGTGTAATTAAAGGGCCGATGGAAGACGCAGACATCTGGTAGGTAACACAGGACCGGGCACGGAAATGTCTCCGTCAGCACGTCCGCCACACGTCAGGCAACTCCGCAGAGAAAGATGTGAGCATTTTAGTTGAGAGAATGAAGATCGCTCTGTAGTTAAACGACGCTCCCTGCGACCATAAACAAGTTATTTTAACCTCTTTCAAAAAATTCTTGGTGACAGCTGCTGCCGATACTGTTATTAAAACTCTGCCTCCCAATTACTATCAAGATTCCAGGCCCCCAGCCTGGCCTGCGTGGCTCAGTGGTTGAGCGTTGACCTAGGTCACCGGTTCGATTCCTGGTCAGGGCATATGGATGGCTCCATCCCCAGTAGGGGGCGTGCAAGAGGCAGCCGATCCCTGATTCTCTCTCATCATGGATGTTTTCCTCTCTCTCCCTCTCCCTTCCTCTCTAAAATCAATAAAAATATATATTTTAAAAAATGGTTTTGTATGGTCCTCCTAAAAGTCATGCTTAAGTGCAGCCACCCGGCAGGTCCAAGGAGGGGTGTTTAAGGAGATATTGTCGGGATCACTGACAAGGGAAGAGCAGGGCGCCCTAATGTGTACGCCAACCACCAACCCAGCCACAGCCCTGCAGCAGCCACGGGGTGGGGTTCTATTTTTTTTTTAAAAATATATTTTGTTGGGTTATTTTTACAGAGAGGAAGGGAGAGGGATAGAGAGTTAGAAACATCGATGAGAGAGAAACATCGATCAGCTGCCTCCTGCACATCCCCTATTGGGGATGTGCCCGCAACCCAGGTACATGCCCTTGACCGGAATCGAACCCGGGACCCTTCAGTCCGCAGGCCGACGCTCTATCCACTGAGCCAAACCGGTTAGGGAAAGGGGTGGGGTTCTTTATAAAACTGGGAATGAGGCCCTAACCGGTTTGGCTCAGTGGATAGAATATATAACAAAAATGGGAATGAGGTCAAGGCAATTATGGAACCCCCCCCACACACACACACACAGAAAAGTCCACCTCTCCAAGAAAGGAAAGAAATCTGGCCGCTGACTTCGCGGCAGCCTCACGGATACCCCTCCCCAGAAGTTCCCTGGCCTCCTCCTTTATCAGCTACTCCCTGCAAACTTCCATCAAAGACTGCACTTGACCTCAGCGGGCAACCCTACCGGTAAAGTGAGAAGCAGCCCGCACTGGGAAATCGTTTCTTATTGTGCTCCCGCCATCGGCTGTGCTCACCGTCCCTCTCACTCGGAAGAAAGCCGCCCCTAAGGAGGTGCCGGCCTATTTTATTCTGTGGATGGCCCAGTGGTCGCTGTCCCTTGAATACACCCATCAGGGGGTGAATCCCGGAAGAGCAAATGACACCTTTCAACTAAACAAAAACAATCGAACAGGCTGTGGGCAGGTTCTGCCTCCGTCCTCAAACTGCCCACCAGCCAGCGTCGCTCCCCTAGGTCAGTGGTCGGCAAACTCATTAGTCAACAGAGCCAAATATCAACAGTACAACGATTGAAATTTCTTTTGAGAGCCAAATTTTTTAAACGTAAACTATATAGGTAGGTGCCTTGCTATTCACTTAATTAGGGTGCTCCTAAGGCTTAGGAAGAGCCACACTCAAGGGGCCAAAGAGCCGCATGTGGCTCGCAAGCCGCAGTTTGCCGACCATGGCCCTACGTTAATGGGACTTGCTTTCAGACGAGAGAGAGATTATTAGTCTCTGGGTGTCTACTCACAGACCCGCCGGTTAGAAAGAAACGATGATTTTCATTGGCTTTTCCCATGGAAAATAAATGAAGTTATATCGCTGATGATTGGGAAAAGCGAGTAAAGAAAAAATAACAACCATCTGCCACCCTGAGACAACCGTCACTAGCCATTGTAGCTATTTCTTTGGGGTGCTTTCGTTGGATTTTTTTTTTTTGCATAATTTTTGCTTCATTATAAATTACGGGATGGGTATCTTCCAATCAGGCCAACGGAGAAAATAATCACACGCCATCATATAGAAAGAGATTAGCCCGGCCGGCGTGGCTCAGTGATTGCACGTTGATCTGTGAACCGAGAGGTCACGGTTCAATTCCCGGTCAGGGCACATGCCGGGGTTGTGGGCTCCATCCCCAGTAGGGGGCATGCAGGAGGCAGCTGATGCATGATTCTCTCTCATCATGGATGTTTCTAGCTCTCTCTTCCTCTCCCTTCCTCACTCTGAAATCAATAAAAAACACATTTTTTTAAAAAACAAAAGAGAGAGAATATATGGCAGCGGTTTTCAACCTGTGGGTCGCGACCCCTTTGGGGGTCGAACGACCCTTTCACAGGGGTCGCCGAAGACCATCGGAAAACACATAGATAATTACATATTGTTTTTGTGATGAATCACTATGCTTTAATTATGCTCCATTTGTAACAATGAAATTGGGGGCCACCACAACATGAGGAACTGTATGAAAGGGCCGCGGCATTAGGAAGGTTGAGAACCACTGATATGTGGTCTAATGGTCACGGTCTACCCTTGGCGAACACTTTCCATGTATCAAGTTGTTTCATCATCATACCAACCCACATCGTAACTGCTTTTCTAGTTCCCATTTTACAGATGAGAAAACTGAGGCACCAAGCGGTTAGACAGCTCGCCCGTGGCTGCACGGCAAAAAACCACTTCTTTCTTTGTGCTCAAGACCCTGGAATTCGGGGGCCATTGGGGCCAATGACGTCACCCTTCACGCACCTCTGGGCCCCTTCAGAACGGCCTCTCATGCTCCTCTCCTCAACGCCTGGACCCGTGGCTGGTGCCTGTCCTTCGTCCTGGCCCCTCCAAGGACGAGTCTCCGTCTATTGATCCCCTGACAGCACTGACGGATGACTTGCTCGTCGCCTCTTTGTTCTACGACACGGAAGTCCATCTCTCCCGTCTGACACCCTGTTGAACTCTTTATTTCACTCTGAGCCCTTTATTAGCGCGTGTGCGGATGGCATTCTGATTCCGTCTTCTCTCTCCTTTTCCCTCCCCATCCCTCCCTCTCCTTCCCCGCCTACACTAGCGTAAGCTCAATTCATCTCTAAGGGTAATTAGTGGCGGGAGCCTCGACCATGGTAGAGCTGTGTGTCTGGTGAAAAAAAAAAAGTATTCTACCCTTTAAGAGCCTGAGGCTCTTCCAACGTGTGCATCCCACTTGGGATCACTTTTCGTGTCTCTGGCCAGCTCCTCCGGTTATAAGTGCCTGTGAGATCGTGTTTTCTGAGCCTCTAAAACGCCCATCAGAAACTTTCAGAGTCCTATTTTCTTTAAATAAGAATAGATAGATAGATAGATATCTATCTATCTATATATATATAGGTAGATAGATAGATAGATAGATATAAAGGTATATATATATTATATATATATTGATCATCTGACCGACTGGCCAGTACAGTTTATGTGCAATGGCAATTTAAAAATAAACATTGACTCACACACTTCTATTATAGAGAAAGGGCGAATAGCGATATTAAAATATTTTGTATGTATCATATATACTATGTTGATATGTAATTTTTTGCAATAATGTAATTACGGGAGAGGGAGAGAGAGATAGAAACATCAATGAGGAGAGAGAATCATGGATGGGCTGCCTCCTGCACGCCTCCTGCTGGGGATCGAGCCTGCAACTGGCATGTGCCCTGACCAGGAATCTAACCGTGACCTCCTGGTTCCTCGGTTGACGCTCAACCACTGAGCAACACTGGCCGGGCTGTGGTCTTATTTTCAAACAATACCTCTGGCTTCCAAGGGGTAATCCATAACCTAATCCAAACGCTTCAACAAGTTCTGCTAACAACACTTTAAACAATCATTGCAATTATTGACGGCTTGATATGGATGACTACAATAGAACTCCTTTTGCTCGCTTCATAATTATAACAATATTGTATTTGTTTCTTTTCGCTTTAATACTCTAATTTGGATAATTATCCAACAGAGCTCCTGGCAACCATCTGGAAGATTTCAGAGAGGAAGGGAGAGGGAGGAGAGAGAGAGAGAAACATCAGTGAGGAGAGAGAATCATGGATCGGCTGCCTGCTGCACGCCCACACTGGGGATCAAGCCCGCAACCCGGGTGTGTGCTCTGACTGGAATCGAACCGTGACCTCCTGGTTCATAGGCCAATGCTCAACCCCTGTGTCTCTCACATCAGTGTTTCTCTCTCTCCCTCCTCCCTCCCTTCTACTCTGTCTGAAAATCAATTGAAAAAAATATCCTCAAATGAGGATTAAAAAAAAAAAAGCCAGGGTTCAGGAACTCAACCGTCAGAGATTATAAAACCCTACAACTCGATGACTACCTCACCTACCAAAGTGGACTGCGTGCCCAGCCTGTGTGGCTCAGTGGTTGAGCGTGACCTATGAACCAGGAGGTCATGGTTCGATTCCCGGTCAGGGCACACGTCCGGGTGCCGGGCTCCATCCCCAGTGTGGGTCACGCCGGAGGCAGCCGATCCATGACTCTCTCTCCTCATTGATGTTTCTCTCTCTTTCTCTCCCTCTCCCTTCCTCTCTGAGATCAATAAAAATGTGTGTATTTTTTTAAAGTGGCCTGCGTTACAGTGGCTCAGGACCGTACCGGTCTGGCCCCGCCCAGACGTCCTAAACTTCTCCTACATGTAAGGACACAGCGACAGACGTCAAAGACCCAGGCCGGGCTCCCTGCTCGGCCACTCGCTGGATGTGGGCTTCCTCGGCCTCCCTTTCTGCATCTATAGATGGCGGGCGTGGGTGCGACAACTCCCCAGACCCCTTTGCATTCTAACGCGTGATGCCAGCGGCCCCTGAGCATCTCCGCAGCGGCCAAGGCACTCTACCCAGTGAGCGGAACGGCGTCAAAGGCAAACACGGGCACTGAGGAGTCCCGGCCCCCGGGGGACACCTGGGCGTGCAGGTCCCAGGTGAGACGGGAAGAAAGGCTGGGGAGGGGGCGTCTGCCTGCTGCCTCTCTCCAGGCCCGACGGGCAACAAGCGTGTTTTATAACAAACACGGCTCGTTCCAGCCTTGCTCGGGGTGTGCGTGTCTTGGATGAGTGTCTTGAGCTCCTACGGGGGATCCACGGATAGTACTAGTTGTGTATCTCGCAATCTGGGAAACAGCAAAAATCTCTCTCCAGGCAGCAGGGCAGATGGGGAGAGGGGCGGGCCGGCTTCCCTGAAGCAGCGAGCCACGTGGCTCCAGCCATGCCTTTCTCGGGGGAGAGAGAAGAAAAAAAAAAAATCCCCATTTATAGGCGAGCGTCTCTGCCGGTGGAAGGCAAAGATGTTCTCGGTTATTATCTTCTCTATCTCCTCCGCGCAGACGTGGCGCGAGCACACTCATCCTTCAGGCTAAGCGATACCTGCGCTCACAGATACACGTATTATTATACATATGCTAATAACGGTTCACATTAACACAGAGGACGAACGTGCTTCGCGGAGATGCGTTCGCTCGTTAATCCTCAGGGTGCCCGGGAGATCGCTAGGGGCGAGGGCTGGGTGCCAGCTCTCTCAGATGCCAGGCGACCGCAGGGTGTACGCAGTTTGCTCAAGTTTGTCGGGTGGACCATCTGCAGGGCCTGAGAGGACGCAGGATGCTAACGAACCTCAGGTCTGGACAGGCCCACACCGCACCCCTCTCAGACACATAGCAGAGCCCGGCTGGTGTGGCCCAGTGGGTTGAACATCGTCCCATGCACCATGCAGGTCGCTGGTCCGATTCCCGGTTGGGGCACAGGCCCGGGTTGCAGGCATTAACACAGAGGACGAACGTGCTTTGCGGAGATGCGTTCGCTCGTTTATCCTCAGGGTGCCCAGGAGATCGCTAGGGGCAAGGGACGGGGTGCCAGCTCCCTCAGATGCCAGGCGACCGCAGGGTGTACACAGTTTGCTCAAGTTTCTTGGGTGGACCATCCGCAGGGCCTGAGAGGATGCAGGATGCTAACGAACCTCAGGTCTGGACTGGCCCACACCGCACCTCTCTCAGACACACAGCAGAGCCCGGCTGGTGTGGCTCAGTGGGTTGAACATCGTCCCAGGCACCATGGAGGTCGCTGGTCCGATTCCCGGTCAGGGCACAGGCCCGGGTTGCAGGCTCCATCCCCAGTACGGGGCGTGCAGGGGGGGCCGACCTGTCTTTCTCTAACATCGATGTTTCTATCGTCTCTCCCTCTTTCTAAAACATCGATAAAGACATATTTATAAAACGCAAACACCAGAGACCTCACTGCAGTCATTCGGCATTTTGTTCATCTCCTCGTCTTCTCCACCCTGATCCTTCTAACGCCAGCACCGCGGCCGTGGGAACCCCCCGGGAAAGCTACGAGGCTGCTGTCAGAGACTCAGGGGGTTCCCAAGCTTTATCTTCCTGCTTCCCTCCTCTCCAGAGGGCACTGGCTGC